ACAAACTCTCTATCAAAAACACTAAAAAGAAACTGATTATTCTGAACTCAGGAGTTCTCTTCTGTTGAGACATTTAATTTACATTAAGGACTATCCCACAAAAAATTAAAAATATAAAAGCATAATAAATGCATATAAAATGTGTCAAATGATAGTTACTATTAACCAAAGTAACTGTACTGTAAAGTGTGACAAAGCTTATTTCAAATTGTAGTAACATATCTTACAGTGCATATGTATGTAAATGTATGTATCATTACTGTGACAGCTCTATTTTCAAATAAAAAAGCTATTTCCTGTTTCAACTGCAATACTTACGTGGTTGATTTGCTTCATGTCACAGCAGCACATAGAAACACAGAAATTAAATTATAAATATTAACAATTAAATATAAAACACATTTAATTACAATAACTGTCACACTGTAAAGCTCATTTTCTATATTAGCCCATTGCATATATATATTATATTACATAAGTATTATAATACTTACCCAGTTGCTGTAGTTGTACAGAGATCTTTGCTTCATGTCACAGCAGAGTGTAGAAAAGGGAGATTATCAGTGGATGAACAGATGAACATGACAGAACTGTGTGGCTCAATCATAAGTACATACAAATGTGTGTGTGAAATATGCATGCAAACATTTTCACAACGAAATCTAGATTTATTAAAGCTTATGTACAGCAGAAACTACAGATTCCCATTTGCAATGAGAAGTCAACTTCACATGATTGTGTTATGAATAATTTCTATACACAAAACATGCAGGCTACATTCGGACCATAAATCAGTATAATTTGAACTCTACTGTAGCACAAAAAAGTCATTTGTTTAGTTCTTTCTGGAACAGATGCAATACTTACACAGTTGCTTTATATGCTCTGAAGTGTCATCTATGCGTCACGTAGAAAAAAAAAAAGGAAAGAGTGAATTATCAGTGAATGAACTGATTCTTCAAAAGCTTCTAATAAGCACTTCTTTATCTGCACAACTTTATTAATGATCTGTAATAACTGCAGTAATATATGTGTCTAAGAATTATTTAAATGTTGTTATTATTGACCTATTATGAGGTAAGGGATAAAGTAAGATAAAATAGTATACCATAAAGTATTTTGAACAAACAGTTTAAAATAGTGAGATTTGCCTAAATATAAAAAGATTTAAGATAAATTTAAAGCATCCTGGATTACTAAAACTATTAATTTATTGATTTTGTAATAAATAAATATGCTTCTAGTGCATATAATTAAAAATCTATTCTATTTTACATTTCTAATAACAATTATTGCCTGCAAAAAATGTACACAGATGAAAAATATATAAATACCCAATTGCTTTCAAGGCTGATAATAAATCAAAACAACAACAACATTAATAATAATATAAAAACAACACAAATATTCCTGTTACACTGTTAAAATGGTTATTTCTTAAAAACATTTACATTTTTGAAATGATTAAAATGAGAGGAACTTTTAAAGTTGTGATAAAAAGTTTAAATAATGACACTAAAGATCATAATATACATTTCCACATGACTATTATACAGTAAAGCTTTATTCTGTTATGGTGTCAGCGGTAATACTTACGATTTTTTGTTAATTTGTAGCAGTAGTACAATACAGCAGCAGCAGTAGTAATTCCCAGCAGAAGAACAGTAAGAACAATCCCTGTTATTCCACCTGGAGACAACCCTGAAGCTGAAATAATAAAGACAGTCATTACGAACAGCAGATGCAGCACACGCGCTTGATAAATGTATTGGTCCATTACTCTTCTGCCTTTTGAAGCACCGCGCATAGGAGTGCAGCATTTTTTTAAATGCCATTTCAAGTTAAAACTTACCTTTCACACACAGCTCATCACTGTCAGTTCCACAGCAGTGGACCAATCGGAAGAGCTTTGAGGCGGAGCAACTGATGCAAATTTCAGTTTGCAAGCGCTCTGTAATTGTGGCTGAACACGCTTGTGCTTTATACTGCACTATTTTCAAAGTTGCTACTAATAAAACATTCCTGTTTTATTATTATTATTATTTTATTTCTAAACCATTGCCTCTTTTAGAAGCAAAAACACATTCTGTGTGAATGAGCCCTAACACTATAAACATCAGCACTATATAACCTGATGAAGATCTGATACTGTAATGATGAACACAATTAATAACAAAGTCAACTAATTAAGTCAACTAACATCATGAACACTATCTGAGTATTAAATTATTAGTGTACAACAAATGTAAGCAAATCTTTTTGACTGCAAATATATATAAAACTCACCAGAGACCGCAACACTGAATCGTGTCAGTAGGGTCTTCCTTTCACCAACAATCTTCAGTTTAAATTCTCCAGCGTCTTCAGTTCTGATGTTCTTGGTGGTCAGAGATCCATTCTTCCTCTCCATCTGCAGTCTGTCTCTGAATCTCCCATCAGGACCACCATAGTACAATATCTGACCGTCTTCTACATCCCATTTAGCTATGAGATGCCCCTCAGCTCCAAACCTCCACAGGATGAGATCTTGTTTCTGGAGTTCAACATCAGTTTGTAAAGTCACAGTTGCTCCCTCTGTAGCTGCTACTGACTTTACTTCATCAGACGTCATTTGAGAATCTGCAACAGTAATTGCACATGCTGAAAATAAACACACAGTTGCTCTTTCCAGCTTATACTGTATGAAGTACATTCACAATAAGAAAGTTTGTTTATGGAAAAACTATTAAAGAAACCCTTGCACTTAATATATGAAGTTACGTTGGTACCTTGAATTCATAGATAAATTGAATAAACTAAATTGGCCTCAGTGTGCGAGTGTGTGTGTGACTGGGAGTGTATCAGTGGTTTATCCCAGTACTGGGTTGTGGCTGGAAGGACATTCGCTGCGTTAAACATAAGCTGGTGGTTTATTCAGCTGTGGAGACCCCTGATAAATAAGGGACTAAGCCGAAGGAAAAGAATGAAAGAATGAATAAATGAATGAATAAATGAATGAATGAATGAATGAATGAATGAATGAATGAATGAATGGGTGAGGCAGTGTCGCAGTAGGTAGTGCTGTTCAAGAAGCAAGAAGGTCGCTGCAAGAAGGTTGCTGGGTCGCTGGTTCGAACCTTGGCTCAGTTGGCGTTTCTGTGTGGAGTTTGCATGTTCTCCCTGCCTTCACGTGGGTTTCCTCCGGGTGCTCTTGTTTCCCCCACAGTCCAAAGACATGCTGTACAGATGAATTGGGTAGGTAGTGTATGAGTGTGTGTGTGAATGTGTGTGTGGATGTTTCCCAGAGATGGGTTGTGGCTGTTAGGGCATCCGCTGCTTAAAAACTTGCTGGATAAGTTGGCGGTTCAGTCCGCTGTGGCGACCCCGAATTAATAAAGGGACTAAGCCGACAAGAAAATGAATGAATAAATGAAATTCTGCTTAATTTGTATTTCAAAGAAAAAAAAGACGATCCAAGATTAGAATATTGAAATCAAAGTTCTCACCTTTCACAATAACTCTGAAGGTCTGTGATTTTGTCCCTGCACTGCTGATACTCTCTACTTCGTATTCACCGTAGTGTCTGTGTCTGATGCTCCAGATTGTGCAAAATCCATTTTGATCCACGGTTAGTGTGTCACCAAACATGACAAGCTTATCATCAGTATATTCAACTCCACCAGTTTCTTTATTGACTGATGCTATACGGGTTCTATTAACTTTCCAGTCAATTAGACCATTTTTCTGCACTTCAATAAAGTTTGTCTTTAGAGTTAAAGAATCTCCCTCAAACACGTTCATTTCCATGGCCTCAACACCGAAAATACCTGCCAAACAAACAGAAAATAAAGGTCATTTTAGCAAATGAAGAAATACAACAAACACTTCCCATTAAGTGCTAGAATTAAAATATTTAAAAACATGTCTGTAAAAACATATAGACCAACAAATGTTTACAGTTTTTACAATCATTACTTTGTTGCAAATTTCAGAATCCTGACGTCACTTTCCCAAAACTCTAGACACAAAATTCAAAACCATTCACAAAATTGCACATTTTCGCAAATGACTGAATACAACACACAGAGATCAGAGATGCTTTGTTCACGTAACTAAAACCACTAATTTTTGTTTTGTTTTTTAACAATCTTTTGGTTACCAGCTTCAGAACCTTGATGTAACTTTTTTAACCCAACACAGGCTTTACATTGTTCAAAACATTGCATGTTCTTTCAATATTTTGACATACAGTCACTGGCCACTTTATAAGGTACACCTTTCTAGTACTAGGTTGGACCCTCTTTTGCCTTCAGAACTTCCTTAATCCTTCGTGGCACAGATTCAACAAGGTACTGGAAATATCCCTAAGAGATTTTGGTACATATTGACATGATAGCATCATGCAGTTGCTGCAGATTTGTCAGCTGCACATCCAAGACGTGAATTCCCCGTTCCATCACATCCCAAAGGTGCTCTATTGGATCGAGATCTGGTGACTGTGGAGACCATTTGAGCACAATGAACTCATTGTCATGTTCAAGAAACCAGTCTGACATGATTTGCACTTTATGGCATGTTATCCTGCTGGAAGTAGCCATCAGAAGAGGGGTACACTGTGGCCATAAAGGAATGGACATGGTCAGCAACAATACTCAGGGAGGCTGTGGTGTTGACACGATGCTCAACTGGTACTAATGGGCCAAGAAAATATCCAAAGTGTGCCAAGCTAAAATCAAGACTCATCAGAGCAGGCAACGTTTTGTAGCCTGTTCTAAGCTGACAGGAGTGGCACCCGGTGTGGTCTTCTGCTGTTGTAGCCCAGCTGCCTTAAGGTTCAACATGTTGTGCGTTTAGAGATGCATTTCTGCATACCCTGGATGCAATGAGTGATTATTTGAGTAACTGTTGCCTTTCTATCAGCTCGAACTAGTCTGGCCATTCTCCTCTGACCTCTGGCATCAACAAGGCAATCACACCTACATTACTGCCACTCACTTAATATTTTCACTTTTTCGGACCATCTGAAGTATGGTTTGCTGTAGTATGTGAACCAACGATCCTGTAAATGCTAGGCTTCTCTAAAGAAATGAATGCAAAATGTGAAGTTTTAAACACTGGAAAGCCTTTGTTAAAAGTTGACTGTTTAGAGTTTTGTGTCTAGAGTTTTGAAAAAAAAAAGTATCATGGTTCTAAATCTGTTAACACAATAATTGAAAAAACTGTAACAGAATAGCAAAAGCATCTAACCAATAATAATAAACAAAAACTTGTTACTTGTTTATTCTAGACAACGTCTTAGTCCTGGGGTTCGTTCTTCGTACGTGGATTACTCAGTTAGCTGGATTCGGATATTGGCGATTTGACACGATCCAGGATCGTTTCGTTCTTCAAAGCTGATCTGAGAGTTGTTGTCATAGCAACAGTTCTGCTAGCTCAAACCTGATCGGAAGCAGGTTCAATTTATATAAACAGGATTAGATCGGCTTAGTTCAAGCAAAGATTATAGAGAAAACATGTACCAAATTCTGATATTTTCTTACAGTAGTAGTTATATACACTTGGGAAAATAGTAAATATTTTAACTATATATATTAAGTTATTAATAAAATAAAGAAAGTTATATATATATATATATATATATATATATATATATTAATAAAACTTATGCAATCTGCACCCTCGAAATGAAAGTACAAAGACTGCCACCTGGTGGTGCAAAGAGAAAACTTATTGATATTAACTTTTTAGATCGCTTTAGTACAATTTGTGTATGCTAATAATAATGCAGAATATGTGACTTTAAAAAAAAAAGAAATAATACATTAATGCAGTCATAAACATGTTTTGACAGTTAATATGCCAGTGATTATGCTTTATAAAAAAAATCTTTTCTAAATGTAGAACTAAATACACTGATATGCATTGAAATACATGACGAATACTGACACATGAAAGTGTAAAGCCGCTCACAACAAATGTGGAAGGTTATTGCGTGTCATTTAACAAACGGTTTACTGCTAATTTGATGTAATTTTGCTCACATGGATAATTGAATATAAATCAGATGATGTTGCCGTCAGCCAATCGTTGCATTGCTGATCATGATTTCGAGGATCGATAGATCTTCACAACACACGCAGCGATCTCAGATCAGTTCATCCAAATATTCTATTCTGATTCGCGAACTTGTTTGAACAACCAACCCTTACAAAAATAGCCTACAGGAATCCTGCAGGATTTTCATTTTTTTCTGCAGGAACCTGCTGGTATCCTGTAGGAATTATGAAATCCTGCAGGACAAATTGACAATATGTGCAGGCAATTCCTACAGGTTTTAGAATCATGCAGTACTTTTTGCAGGAATCCTGAAGGATTCCTTTTTTTCCCTTCATAAAAGCTGCTGTCCTGCAGGAATTCAAAAATCCTGTAGGACACATTGACAATATGTGCAGGAATTTCCTACAGGTTTTTACAATGGATCCAAGCAAGTTACAAATCCTGCAGGATTTTATAATTATTATAATTATTATTAATTATTTGTAGTAATTGGAATGAAAGAAATTGTGTCACTTGTTTTTGGTAGCAATACAATATGAGTTCTAACAGATAAACTTTACAACAAACAAACAAAAAATAAGAAAATAAATACATAAATAAAGTATACAAATAGATTATAGGCAATTATAAAAATCAACCATTACACTAAACCATTCAAATTATGCATTTATGCAAACAAGCAAGCTGTACACTTTTACGTTTCATTTCTATACTTTTTTTTTCATTTATTAAAAATCTGTTTGGTTAGATGCAAAAAAAATAAAAATAAATAAATTAATTAAAAAAAACTGCAAGACCTGTCCTTGAGGTAGATATATGTTAAACGTATGTCTGTGCATTTTATGAGTTCAACAGAGTCTCTTCCTCTTTCTTTTAAAATGTTTGTTGCTGTTATGCTTTATTCTCTGTCTTTTTGACCTGAGCAACCTATTTTATTCTGTGTCCATTGCCTTTTTGTGGCAGCTGGAACTGGTGCCTTTTCTTTTAAGTACACTTTTTACTCCATTTTTATTCTTTAAAAAGAAGCAGGTTAAGGTTATTGTTCAGGTGATTGGTAAACATAATGTGTTTTCTGCAATGTTAGAGTAAATTTAATTATTAAATCAATATAAACATTTGTTAAACATTTTAAATAAAATAAGATATAAATGCTAAATTGAAATTAGATAATACATTGCTGCCAATAATGTATAGGTCTATTTTATACACATAATATATTTACAATATTTTAAGTTAATAATGACTACTACTAATATATGTGTGTGTATTATTTGACAAAATGGACTAGACACATTAAAACAAACATTCTTATAAACAGATTTTTTTCTTACAAAATAAACTATTTGTTTGTGGAATACGTGTGTTTTGATGAATCTGTGCTTTACAGATTTATACAGTCTTTCAAGCTTAAAAAAGACGCTCGTTTTCGCCACCTACTGGCGTAACAGTGTAGTTTACATTATAAACTCCGGTAAAATGAATCATTCAAAGAAAAGATTCGATTCATTGAGATGACTCGCTTCACGTCGCCGATTCGAATGCACGTCAGTCAACTGTCACCAACCGTCTTCTGAAGGTAAAACACTTTTCTTAAGTTATTTTATCGTTAAAGTGCTCTAATAACTGCTCTGTTTTAATGTTAAATCAGTCAATTGTTTTGTGACACCAAAACAAATACTTACTTGATTTTTAAAGTCGAGATCACATTAACAATACTAGTACATTGCTAACGTAATATACTAAGGTCTACTACCGCCCATATAAGAACTTAATTAAAAAAATGACTATATGAAATGATATTTTTATCATTGTTAACATAACCAGTGTTTTATTTAGTATTTTCACTGCTTATAATTGATGCTAATATAGTTTTTTGTTATCTCAGAAATCATTTATCGCTGCGGCCGGACAGCAAACTACTCTTTGGCTGGTAGGCAGGGCCGGATTAACCAATGGGCCTTATGGGCACAGGCCCAGGGGCCCGTGCGCACCAGGGGCCCCTGCGAGGGGGGAGAAAAAAAAGACAATTTCGGAGTGTCTTTTTAGGCTAATTGCAAATAGCGCATCTAGCTATTGAGGGTTTACGCCCATCGATGCCTGATTGATAGAGACAAGATGAGTAAAGAGCAGTGAAGTAATTTCGACGCAGTGGCGCACCTTGTAAGGCACACGGCATCATCTTTTGACGCGATTAATAATAACATCGGTTCGAATCCACCATCAGTTGAACTCGTGCTACTTTTTTTCTCCCCATTACATATCAGATTGGAAATATATTTATTTTTAACAGGAAAGAAACATTTTTTAAAAATAATGCAAATGTGATATAAAGTCACAAGTGTCTCGTGGGTATTTAATAATGTTTAGCCTTATTATAGGCACTTGCCGCGCCTCCCTCTCTTCAAAAACTCTATTGCTAAGACAACTGTATTTCCACTGAGCAAAAAAATCGCGATCACATATTAATATTATTATTATATTTAAATTGCCTTTCTTTCTTTAACTAAACAGAATGCTGTCATTGGTCAAGCGCGGAAACGTCAGTTTTGTAATAACCCGCACTAAACTGAGCGGACTTTAGTGTAACGTTATATCTGTCATAGATCAAAAATGAGTGGACAAGTGGATTTAGCAAACGCGAGAGAAAGAGGAGAGGGGGCATCTTTATTGACGCATTTTCCATACACACCTTCTTTAAACAGACCCGTGATCAGGAGAATGAGAGTACAGAAGAAGACTTTAACTTTAGATGATGAGTAGCTAGCATTAACCAGGCGGAGGATGCTAACGGCAGCGCAGCGCGGACTGGATTCATCGTGTGAGAGACAGACAGAAAGGGAGAGAGAGAGAGGGAGAGAGAGAGAAAGGCCCAGAAGAGGAGAGAGAGGGGAGATAAGAGGTATAGTGTCTGTGATTTCGGATACTTTTAGGTTTATAATCAAGTCTTCATCACGAGAAAAGTAGAGAAAATACAGGGAGAGGAGGAGAGAGACAGTAAATCAGTGTTTGTATTATGAAAGACTCAGATTCATAGAACTCAGATTCATATAACTGGATTGGAGAAGCATTGTGCGTTATATGCCATGGCAATAATATGCTTTAAAGTTTGTAAAAGCAATACACTAAAATACCCTTAAAATATATATATATATATATATATATATATATATATATATATATATATATATATATATATATATATATATACAGAGAATACATATGTATGTATTATCATTTATTTATATATATATGTGGGTAAGAATATATACATACATTTTAATAATTACTAAATAAATCATACTTATTTTATTTATCTATATATATGCATGCAGCTAGGGGGGC